GGATTTTATGGTGGGACTACCCAAAACAAGTGAAGGTTACGATGCAATATGGGTAATTATTGATAGATTGACTAAATCTGCCCATTTTGTACCCATAAAAGTGACGTATACCCTAGAAAAGTTAGCAGAGTTGTACGTCAACAACATAGTTAGACTGCATGGAATACCATTATCCATTGTCTCAGATCGGGATAGCTGTTTTACCTCCATGTTTTGGAAGAGTGTACAAGAAGCCATGAGCTCAGAATTAAGATTTAGCACAGCTTTTCATCCTCAGACGGATGGACAGTCGGAACGTACCATCCAAACTTTGGAAGATATACTTAGGGCATGTGTGATGGATTTTAAAGGAGCATGGAATAAGAAACTGTCTTTGATTGAATTCTCGTATAACAACAGTTATCAAGCTTCAATCGGTATGCCACCGTATGAAGCTTTGTATGGAAGAAAATGCAGGTCTCCCATTCATTGGTATGAAACCAGGGAGAAGCAGTTGCATAAGACAGAATTCATTCAGGAGGCGGTTGAATCTATCCAGAAAATCCATCAAAAGATGAAGACGGCACATGACCATCAGAAAAGCTATGCTGATAAGCGTAGAAGACCCTTGGAGTTTAATAAAGAGGATTCAGTCTTCTTGAAAATCGCACCTATGAAAGGTGTTATGCGTTTTGGCAAGAAAGGCAAATTGAACCCAAGGTATATAGGACATTTCCAGATTGTCAAGCGAATAAGGAAAGTAGCCTATCGATTGGCTTTACCGCCAGAATTAGCTGCGGTACATGATGTGTTCCACGTCTCGATGTTAAAGAAGTATATACCCGATCTGTCCCATGTTATAGAACATGAACCGATTCAGATTCGTGAAGACATGACTTATGAGGAACAACCGGTGCAAATACTGACACGAGAAGAGAAGCGTCTTCGTAATCGAAGTATTCTACTTGTAAAGATACTGTGGATGAATCAAAAAGTAGAAGAAGCAACATGGGAATGTGAAGATGAAATGAGAAGGAAATACCCCCATTTGTTTTAATTTTTGGGACGAAAATTTCTTAAGGAGGGGTGAATGTAACGACCGGAAAAATTTCAGGTCTAATCTGGACAGTTCGGCATTTTGACCATAAATTCTTCCGGAACGAAAAGCAGTAGAATTTCTAGTTTGATCAAGGAAATGCTATGTAGAAAATTTATGTACGGGGTAAAATCTCCCGAAAAGTGTAAGGTTATAATACGAATATTTTTACAAAGAAAATTCGTAAATATCAGTTATGAATAGTGAAATATCAGTTAAAAGTTAAAAATTTTAACAGGTATATTTTAGTTATGAAAAACTAACATATTTAGTTTGTGACTAAATGACCAGTTAGAAAAAGAGTAGAAATATTGGAAGTAAGGAAAATAGCAAAAGTTCCTGAAATAGAATTTTTCCCAGTCAGTTAAAACGGGAAACTACTAAAAAAATGAGTACCGCAAGGGCACGCATTTTGGGCAATTCTGAATCAAAGAATGAAAATTTCAAAAAAAGAAGTTGACTAACGAGATACCCAAGAGAATTGGGTTGGACATGAGAAGTTTGACCCAGGGTGCTCAACAGTCCAGAAAAACAGTATAGAACCTGTACTGGTTGTGGAACTATCAGTACCGGAAAGAGACTAGTTTCGAGAAACGGAAAGTTTAGTCTCGACAAGAGAATGTGGGGAACATAGAAACACTTAAATTAAGTGTTAAACTTAATTAGAATTTGTTAAATTTAATTATGAAAATTAAAGTAATTATTTTAATCTAGAAAGTAATATTAGATATTATTGAAAATATTATTATAATATTCATTACACTTAAAAGTGGCCTACGGAAGCACATTAGAAGCCACATTTGTTCTTCTTGTCTATGTGTGGCCGAGAAAAGAGGGAAAAGAGGAAAGAGAGAGAAAATCAAGGAATCACCCGATTTCACCGAAATTTTTTTCGTTCAGTCCGGTAGAAACGCAACCCGAGGCATTCTAGCGGGAAATCTCAACTTTTCAAGGTAAGATTTCGGATTTTTCATGAGAAACTGATTGCTTTTTTGTTTTGATGAATAGTAACTCATCTCGGAAAAAATCCGTAAAATTAAAAAATAAAACCGAGGTTTTGTCGGGGACTAGGATAGGAGTTCAACATGTAATTATGGAAACGATTGAACAAAAATTTTTGGATTTACACTAAAAAATCCGAAAACCCTAGAAATGGAGAAAATGTGTTTTGTTCAATTTTATGTTGGAATTTGTGTTCAAGAATATGAATCTTGACTCCAGGTACCGAAATCAGAATTAGAACGAGTTATTGAAAACTCGGGAAATGAGAAAAACAAGGCGAAACTCTGCTGAAATTTAGTTTGAGTAATTTGAACTAAAACTGAATTTCAAGAAGAATATGTGATTAAAAGGTGAAAAGAAAGATGTTTCAATAATCGGTGATGATTAGAAAACCGAACACAATGAGAATTCACAGTTTTGGACTGAAATTGAGAATTAGGCCCATGACTGAGTAACTTGCACGGTTTTAGTGCAAATCCTTGAGATAGGAAATGGTTTGAGGTTGAATACCAAACATAACGATTGTAGACCTTTCCAAAGTAAATTTCAATGTAATTATTGATCTTAGATTCTAAATCTAACGATTGAAAAATTTATGCAATAGGGCCGATTAACGGTTGAAGTCGGAAAGCGTCAAGGGAGACAAAGGACGCGTTGTTAGCGAAGCTTCGGTAAGTACAATAGTTTCTCTATGGCTATATCATGAACAAGCTTATTTTCTATGTTGCACAAAATTTGTGCATATAGTAGAATTTTGAATGTTAGATATAATGTGAATGTTAGATACTATGTTAAGTAGGTATCTACAAGATTTATGAATCGTAGAACTTTATTCTGCAAAAAGTATGTATTGATGTTAAGTCAAGGTCAAGTTACGAGAAAGAGTTAAACTTTAACAAAAAAGTTAATCTCATGATAAATTGCTCATAATGCACAAATTCATAAGATTTAACTAAAGTTACCGTTTCAATGAGAAAATTGATAACGGTAAGAGACTAAACGTCATGTTTGTACCAGCCTTCGAATGAAAGGTTATTGTGAGACTATGAAAGATATGAAACCGTGACTGAGTTGGATTGGTTAGCTACCCCACTCCTCACTGGTTATGCGCGCTATGGTACAGCAGGACAGGGCCTATAAGAAGTAAAAGACATGAAAATGAAAAACATAAACCATTCCATATAAAGGTATGGTATCTGTAAAGAAGAATGAAAAGAATGAGAAACAGAAAATGAAAGTCGTTCAAAACGTGAAAATATGATATGAATGACTAAAATGAGAAAGCATAACAAAGAATGTAATGAAAGAAGAAGAACATAAGTCATACACGTTTTAGTAGCACATAATGTATTATGATATATGACATGAATGCATATATGGGTGTGCATAATTATTGCATATGTTATGACCTATTGATACTTGTTGAGCGAAAGCTCATTAAGTTTGTTCGTGTTGTAGGAAGTACGGGTAAGGCACCGGCTCCCTGAAACTTGTTGCTGGGCATGCAGAGAGGATGTAGCAGTGGAATGTGGGCAAGTGGGTTGTGGATGCATCACGTGTTTTGAAAACGTTGCCAAACATTATGTGTAAAATGAAATAGTGTTTATGAGTATAAATGGCTTATGTTATGAAGGAACAGTTCACGAGACAATGAGGCTATGTATAGCAACCTCTAGTCATAAGGTATGGTTAATGTAACGAATTGCTACAGCAATTCGTAATAGTTGAAAACGGATTGCTACAACAATTCCTAATAGTTGAAAATGAATTGCTACAGTAATTCGTAATAGTTGAAAACGGATTGCTACAGCAATTCCTAATAGTTGAAAATGAATTGCTACAGCAATTCGTAATAGTAGAAAATGGATTGCTACAGCAATTCATAATAGATGAGAATGGATTGCTACAGCAATTCCTAACAGTTGAAAACAAATTGCTACAGCAATTCGTAATAGTTGAAAATATAATGCTACAACATTTTATAAATAGTTGAAAACAGAAGGCTAGCTAAATGCTACAGCATTTAGACGTACATGGTAAGAATGAAAAAAAAATTGGCCTGAATTTTAAGAGGTTATAATTAGTAAGTGTTAGAGGTTAAGTAATGTTAAGTATGAGTATAGGATGACGATCAAAGGCTAGGGTCGTCACATCCATAGGTCAACCGATCCGGTCGACCGGTCACCTCTCCACTGGCTGACCGGTGGAGTTACACTCCTCTGTCACCGGTCGACCGGTTCCCACTGAAACCGACCCTAAACAGCCCAAAAAACCATGTTTTGTCCCTGAAACTCAATGTACTGCCTATATGAGAACAAAATATAATACTGAACAAAAAAAAAAAAAACTAATGCATAACAATTGTCAGTTGATCTCTTTTTATGTGATATTATATTGAATAATTAGATAGGGCACTGACAATGAAAAGGTATATGGGGTGTGTAATGAATTTTTTTTTTTAAAGTATTGATGTCCTTAAAAATAAATTTATTAATAAGTAATTTAATAATAGTCAAATTTAATTAAAAATAAGCGGTTGAAAGGTAAAATGAATAAACGCAGCCATTATTTTAATCATATGAAAAACGAAAATAAAATAAATAATACACTTAACCAGTAGGGGTATTAAGGTAAAATCGTCAGGAGCTGCCTGGTGTTTAAAGAATTGGGCGGGTAAAGAGAGAAAGAAGGAGGTCGAAGCAGAGAGAGGCAGAGCAAGTTGCAAGATGGCCGTTAGACTCTCTCTCCCTCTCTGCAACAGAATTTTCAGAATCAGTTAAAGCCCATGAACAGAAACTCATTTTTCCCTCTCACTCTCTCTCTAGAAAACCATATGATCAAGAGGAGAGAGAGAGAGTGGGAGAGTTTGATTCTAAAGAAGAGAAATCTTGAAGGTGATCAAAGCTCAAAGGCTTGATCAACCATGTCGATTCCGATAATCGAAGCTTGCAAGAAGAGAAAGAGAAGGCCAAAGCTCTTCGCTTTCAACGCATTCGGAGATGAAAGCGGAATCCCCAGATTCCGATGCCCTTTCCGAGACAAAGTTCGAATTTTTCTTGAAGAATGTGCAGAAGTCGAAGACTACCAAGTCCTTGGAATGCCAATTTGGTGTACTCTCCTCGTTCATGAGAACCGAAACCTTGTTATCCCTCTTTACACCATTGAAGAGACCGTCAAGGACTCCCCATTGAAGTCGTATTGCGATCACTGCCGTTGCACAGGTCATTTTTCTCTTCTGGGTTTCCTCAATTGAAGAATATTTTTCCACTCTTTTCTCCGATTTCTCAATTGGGTTTTCTTGATTGAAGAGTTTTTTCCTTTCTTTTGCCTGATTGCTGAACTTGGTTTTCTTGAGGACTTCTTTTTGCTTTCTTTTTTCTGATTTCTGAACTGGGGTTGGTCCCTTTTAATTGGGGCTGTGTTTTCATCTGTTCGTAGTGGTTTCCTTTTTCTTTTTCTTTTTCCGGTAAATCTTTTTTTAATATGTTTGTATGTATAATGTAATCATATTATGTTAGGATTGTGGTCAATTCGTGCCGTCACGTGTTCGTATGCTTTTCTTTTCTGTAGATTTATGAACTGGGTTAGGTTAATTGGGCTTTTTTTTCTTAACTTGATTCAACAATTCTAATTCCAAAAACTAAACATTTTAGTGTCATGTGCACTTGTTTTTTTCTTTTCTGTAGATTCTCTGTAGTTGCACTTTTTGTGGGGATTCTGAGGACTTTTGCTTTTTAGTAGTGTAATTTTGTATTTGTTTTCTCTGCTATCTGAGCTGGCATTGATTCAACTTCGGGTTTGAAACTTGAGGATTCTGTGGAACTGTGTTTGCATCTGTCATACAGATTTTCTTTTCTGTTTTCACACACACAAGACGCATGAATTTCATTTCTGAACTGGGTTTGTTGTTTAGGATGGAGCAACCATTATGTGACCAAGAGGAAGTATCATTTTCTAATCCCAAGTGACAGCAGATGGAACAAGCCATTGGACGAGAGCGTTTTCGATGTTCAATCGCATCTTCTATATGGTCTTATCCATGGCAATGGGTTTGGACACCTGCTCGGCATCAACGGAATGGAAGGAGGCTCGAAATACCTGTTTGGAAGGGAAATCATGGACCTGTGGGATCGCATTTGTGGAAAACTTACAGCCCGGTAAACAACTGAAAGATAACATTAATTTTCTATTCCCATATGTCATGCCTAATTTACCAATCTGATGTCTAATTTCGCGTTTTTATTTTTTTTATTTTTTTTTTTTGCCAATCCATTTTCAGCAAAATTACAGTTGCAGATGCGTCCAAGAAACGATCCATGGAGCTCCGTCTGCTTCATGGTGTTGCCTATGGACACCCTTGGTTCGGTAGATGGGGTTATGGTTTTTGCCATGGAAGCTTTGGTGTCAAGGATTTTAATTACAAAAGAGCACTTGAAATTCTCTGCTCTTTGGAGCTGGACAGGATCATTGAGGACTTCAATGAAACTGAGCAAGCCAAGGAGATCAAGCAGATCATTCGTCTCTACCGAGACCTGAGTGAGACCCAGCTGATAACACTCAATGAACTCCTCAGATTCATGCTCACAGTCAAGTCCCGAGCCGTTGGAAAACCAATCACGACTGCTTCAATAAGTTCATCATCCTCTTCTTTGTTTTCTTCGATTTCAAAGCCCTTCACAAGAACAGGTCTCCTGCACCAGAGCACAAAGCCTTTCATGAAAGACAGTAAACCAGTCAAGTACAAGAAATTCAGTACCGTTATTGCCAACATGGACAGCCGTTGGCCACCAAGAAGACTCGAATTCGCAGCCGATGTGATTGTGGGCGCACTAAAGGAGAAGAAAGAAGACTGTTTTGGTAATGGAGGAATGACTAGGCAAGATGTCCGTGATGCTGCGAGGCTTCACATAGGGGATACTGGTTTGCTAGATTATGTCCTCAAGTCGCTCAACAATGTGATTGTTGGAAACCAAATCATTCGCCGAGCAGTTAATCCTGCCACCAGAATATTGGAATACACAATTCATGAAGTTGGTGAGAAAGTCTCTGAAGAACAAGAACTGGTCTCAAATATCCCATCTCCAGCTAGGATAGTTCCGGGGGTTGATGTGTACAATGATGTGCTTTTCTTGTACAAGCATGTGTTAATGGAGTATCCAGATTCAGAGTTTGTTGACTTGGCTACTCAGACAATTTTGGACACCAAACACCTCGTCAAGGAGTGGCCGTTCAGAGATGAAGAAGATCAGCTCTTGACTTTTGTTTGCAGGCTTCTTCCTAGAAGTTTCGGAGATGGTATTGCCGAGATTGTGCGCGTACCGTTGCACGCGACAATTTCTGACCTAAAAGAAGCAGTGGAGTGCGCGTTAAGGGACACCTACTGCGTGACAGAGGAGATTGAGGTGGTGGAGATTGATGGACTTGAGGAGGTGGAAGATGAGGAGGTGTTGTTTGGGAGGGTGGAATCAGGCACAGAGATAAGGGTGAGGGGGGTTGGCGTGGACACAGAGGGCCCATTGATGCATCAAGGGGGCTGCGACCCCTGGAAGGTTGTGTGCGAGTGTGGGGCCAGGGATGACGATGGGGAGCGGATGGTGGCGTGTGATATCTGCGAGGTGTGGCAGCACACTCGTTGCTGTGGGATCGAGGATGCAGAGACCGTGCCTCCCCTCTTCGTGTGCTCTGCCTGCTGTGACTCTCTTGTCCCGCTGAGGGCTAATCATGAGCCTTCTCCTGATGCTCTTTCTGATGATTTGCTGCTTCTTACACCTCAAGTTGATTACAGTTTGGCAATTGGTTACTGAGATTTGATACAAATTAGGACTATTAGTTTGTTACTTGCTTTTATGGTTCTCTCTCTCTCTCTCTCTCTCTCATGTTTTTTTGGGTGTACAAGAGTCAGTAGAACAGGTTATAGATAATTGACAAGTAGGACTCGTGAAGTAATTCGTTGAGTAAGAAACAAAAACAACGTTTCTTAACACTTTTATTGTATATTGTATCTCCACAGTAAAAGAATTCTTGTTGTAAAGAATGGATATGCATATGAACAAACTTTTTTCCTCTCTATTCCTTCCATTTTGCTGGATTTCACATGTTCAGTGTATAAAAGATACTTTCAACAACGATCACTACAAAGGCTAGGTACTAAACCGGCGGAAATGGTAATAAAAACTATAATAGTAACCACTTTTTTTTCCCCCCTCTCTCTCTCTCTGTTTTTCTTTGCCTGAAATGTTCGTGGAATGAAGAAAATGGTCCAACTTTAGCCCTATGCCCTTTTCAAGATGATATACCGACTATTTTCTGCATAGAATTATAGTTCTAAATCTTGATTTAATAAGAACATAAAAATATGCAACTTATTATTATTATTTTTTTTTAAAAAGATGTGCAATTTCACATCATCATCCATCTTACAAAAGAAACATGCAATTTTTTTTTCAGAACAAAAAAAAAAAAACATAGTCGAGTATGACCAAACATTTTTGTGAAATTATGACTATCGACCCATCGAAAGAAGTCGAATTCCCAGAACCTTTATTTATTTATTTTTTTTTTTACAAGAGTTAGAAGAGGACATGGCTAAATGATGTGTATTTTTTGAGTAATCTTGACAACTACTAGTTAAAAGTGTATGAGTTAGGATTTTTACTCTTATTATTGATTCATAATCTTTTTAATCAAATAATTATATTAACAAAAGAGTATTTATTAAAAATAAGAGATAAACGTTAGACTCATTTACTTTAAGGGAAATTCTCCATTTTTTCATTATTATTGTTTTTTTTTACTGCTTAATTGGGCCATACTCGAAGCTGTACTTATATTTGTGCATTCATGGTTCCTCCAGCTAAGTTTGATCAAATAAATAAATAAATAAACAAATAAAAAGAGGATTAGTCTCGTCCGTATCCCTAAAGCTTAGGGCCGTTTCTAATTTTAACTCTCAAACTTTAAAAACTCCCACTTTATTCTTGAAATTTTGAATTAGTCACACATTCATAATGAAGGGATAAAATCCCACATTCATAAAGTGATGAGAAGCAAAAAAAAGAAAACTCCTCATATAAAGAAAAAAAAAAAAAAAGACTAGAAATCAGAAGGAAAAAAAAAACTAGAAATCACCCAAAAGAACGGAGACTAGAAATCACCCAAAAGAACTCCTCATATAAGGAAAAAAAAAAAGATTCAATTAAGGAAAGAAATCAGAAGCAAAGACTAGAAATCACCCAAAAAAAGGAAGAAAACTAATTAGTAAAGAAAATGATCAGAACATACCACAGTACATGCAGTCCTTGCAGTAGGGGCCCAAAGTTGAGCTGGTGGTGGTTTCTTCAATGATATAGAGAGGAACAATTTGTTTACGCTTGTAAACAAGATGAATAGCCCAAATGGACATCCCAGAAATCTGATCATCTTCCTTTTTTGCGTATTTATCAAGAAATGTTTTAACCTTTTCTTGAAAATACACACAATTCTCGCCAAACGTTGTATAGAAGTGTTAATGTCTGATACTATTGAAATGGCAAGAAGTGTAAGACGTTGAGCCGGTTTACTTCCTTGATTTGAGTTTTTAATTTGAGTTGAGATGTGATTTTATGTGAGAATTTTTTACTGTAGTAAAAAAGTTAGATGTAACTGTTTCTGAGAGCTTTTTACTATAACAAAATTCAAATTTTAAACTCAAATCAGTTAAATGAACGAGCCTTTATATATTGTATAAATTAATGCTCGCTAATTGAATTACTAATTTAATCTATTATATAAATTAATGCTCACTAATTTAATACATTTGCCTCATACTTTTTAAATTTTTAATTTTAACAAATTACTTTTTTAACTTATAAAATTGTTATAATATGCTTAAATTTAAAATTGATTATGTTAAATTATTATGGAAAAGCACGTTCGACGAAAAAATCGAATATCTCAATTCAAATGTAAATACAAATATTTCAATTTCTCAAATTTAATTCTTTAAATCTAAAAAAAAAAAATGAACAAAATAGGACACCTTGCGACATAAGAAATCATATCGAGGTTAAGCGTAATACTAGTATTACAATCCAATTCCTAAACGTTTAGATTGAAAAGCTCAAACAGAAATAAGAATGATGTAAAAAGTCTTCATACATATAATATATATATATATATATATATATATTATTAAGTTAATTAACTTGTCCGACTACCTAAGGACCTATTAACTTCTGTGTTACTACACTTATCTGATCTTTATTACTTTATCTTTTTATCAAGGTAATCATGTAATTAGGATCATGTCACATAAGCGTTGTAAATGCAAATTTAATTTAAGAGGTGACATACGTAGGATATTATTCATCATACTAATCATTCATTTCACAGAGAAATTATTTATATCAAGTAGACAAGCAGATAATGTCTCAGACATTTCTTGAAAAACATACTCGTTGTAGGGGAGATTTGTACTCACGTAGATAGTTGCAATTACGGTATTTTCAAAGCAAACCACTCTTTCAACATTGTAGATTTTGTATTTAAATTGTACTGACAATTTAATGTCAGTTCACCTTCAAGTTTTTAATTCAATTTACTTTAGTTTTATGCTCTAAGTTAATTGACTTCTTACGGATCAATTAATTTAATTAATTATCACCCTTCTAAAAATTGAGCAATGTTTCCAAGTAAATCAACCAATTAATTTCACTAATTAACTCGTTAATTTATCCTAAACCTTGTTAACCAATTGTATTAAATATGTTCGTTACTTAAATAATTCATCTTCTAACTCTAATTAATTGATCATTCTAAATAATTCATTAATCATTAACTTAGTTACCTTCACCTTATTAATTTACTTATAAATTTTTAAATTAACCTTAATTAGTTTTTATAAGTAATTTATCCCCAAATTTTGTAACTTTCTTGGTCTCTAGAATCATACTTACGCCTAACTCTAAACTCTAAACTTCCCTAATGGTCGGGTTAGTTCGTATTAATTTCAGGCTTTAACCTCATCACCTAGGAGGTTACCTTAGGTAAACCTAAGGATCTTTTATATGGGCCCATGGCCCCATTTGGTCTCCTTACCTTAATTAGGTCAAACTAATAGGAGTTGTTCTTTTGCAACGAAACTCAGAAAAAGTTTAAACTCAAGTTACAATTTTATTTAAGTTCATGTTCTTTTGTAAAATTTGAGTTTGAACTCGAGTTTGGAGCTAAACTCAAGTTCAAGTTTCACTTTCAACTCGAGTTCATAAACTCGAACTCAAGTTAATGAACAATATTTTTTATTTTTAAAAATACCATAACTTTTTCGTTTTAATTCTGATTGAGATGATTTTTTTTCTATGCATTCACAACAAAAAGACGAATAAAACCCCAGCCATATACTCTATTAAAATTTTTCATCACCATCGAGTTTTTATTAAAATACTATTTAAATACAAATTTAAGTTTTGACCCATGCAAACACAAACTCAAATAAATTTTCAATTCAAATCATAACTCAAATGTGCACATCCAAACACAAACTCAAGTTATAACTCAAACTCAACTCAAGATCATCACTCAAGTCACCCTAACTCAAAAATACAAAAGAACAACCCCATGGCCACTTAAAGAAATCTAGGTTGGATGGGAGTTTCCAGCCTCGGTTGATAATTTTATGCTTTGAAAAATTACCGTTTTTACCTCTAGCGGGTGTCGACAATTCTAAGTTCATAAATGTAAGATGACTGCCCTTGAAAATCGCGAGTTAAAACTCGAAATTCAATGTCCATTTGACCATTTTACCCTTGAGGTCAAAATGACCATTCTACCCCTAACAATTTTCTAGGTAACGATATTTAGGGGTGCTCACAGTTTGGATTAGTCCTAAACCGTTAGGTTTTCAAACAAATCCATTAATAACGGTTTTCAAAAATTAGACCGGATCAGACCATTAATAAGATGACACCGGACTAGATCAAACTTTTAACAAATGGTCTGGTACGGCTAAAACGCGGTTTAGACCGTTAGTGTGTATGTGTTTTTTTTTTTAATTAGTAAAATCATATGTTGCATAATACATATTGTCATTTAAAATTAACATTCTAAAAGTTATAAACAAAAATAATATGTAGTCCTAAGTAATAGTCTATAACTATTAAACAACAACACGCTAACATAAAAAAAAAATAAAAACAACAACAGGCAATCCAAAATAAAAGTCTACAACTAGTAATATTACAGTCATCTAAAACCGAAAGGTAACAAATAATAACAACATGTAATCTAAAACAAAAGTCGCAATTAATAATAATACAATCATCCAAAGTCTAAATGTAAATAACAAGGTCACCCAAAGTTTCAATATAAATAAAACATTAATCCAAAGCAAACATAAAGTCTAAATTAGGGGTGGGTAGGTGCAAAAGGGAGGAGTCAAAACTACGTAATATTGATAAAAACGCTCAAAAGTTATTTTTTATTTTTATTTTTTAAAATATATATTCTTAACGGAATGTCTGGTCGGGTCCGGTCCAAACCATTAGATAAAAACTGTAAATTAGACCAGACCATTAAGAAAATGATCCGGTTCAGTTTCAAAACATTTTTCAGCAATTCCTACATGGAAAAAACCTTCGGTCCGGTTTGAACCGGACCGTGCACCATCCTAGCGATATTCCTTGGTTATGATTTTCCTATATTGTGGATTTCAGCCATACAAGTACAACAAACGATTACCACCGAGGGTTGTGTAGTAGTGGTAAAGATATGTTTGTTAGGTCTCCTTTGCATGGCCATCTAGGGTTCGAGTCTCCATTCCCGCAGAAAGTTGCCCTGCCCCTTTAAGGAGATTAAGTGGGCCTCAGTGGTCATACCATAGGTGGGGGGAGTGAAAATTAGGTGAACAGTCGGTAGAAGATTAGTTTAAGTCCTTTCCACATACTCGATAGTACCCTAAATTACTGCTATAACTGAAGGGGCTAAGATACATAATGTGCACCACCAAATCTCATTATTTTATCAGCAAAAAAAAGTACAACAAACAATTGGTTGTAGCTTCAAATCCCCTCCCTGACTAGTCCTACAACATGTATAAATAGATCGTGTAAATGTTGCCAAAGATCATTAACTAAACCAGACCTAGATAGTGACCATTGTATTGCTTGCAAGGTTGATCTCAAACCCAACCTTGAATTTTGACCTTGACCTACATCTCAAAATTTGACCTCAATGCCTCTTCAGAACTCGACCTTAGACCTAGACTCCAGGCTCAGTCTCAGATCCCAACCCTACTCCTACCCCGGTTTTCACGTTTTGATATTATTGATAAGTTTTATATTTTTTCCAATACGATCTTTCAACTTAAACTATATAATACGATTAAATACATAATTTTTTCGTATTAGATACCATAGTACGTATTGTATTAAGTTTGAATTTCGTACGAAATTTTATGAAGTTTTCGTATTCATGCATATTATAGATATAGGGCAATCCAGATTCTCAACATAGCATGAGAAACAAAAGAAAAGAAAAGAAATGGAAAAAAAAAAAAAAAATCCCTCGCTTTTAAATAGATTAAGCATATACTTAGCCATGTAAAACAAAAATAAAAATGTTTGTTCTTATTAATTAGCAACAACAAAAAGAATCAGCAAAAAGAAAAAAGAAAACAAAAACATGCTCATCCGTACCATCATGAATTCACTCTCTCTCGTCCCAGCACTACATCCTTGAGAGAAATTAAGCTTGGAGTATGAGTAATAACTTGGAAGTTATCAAACTTACCATGATAATACTTTTTATCAATGGCGTTACTAATGGGACGTTTGTTTCTTATATCCATCCCTGATTTTAAATCATAATTCATGGTTATTTTTTCTCACAAAAAATACACGTAAAACGAAAATAATTTTAAATCATGATTCTGAATACATAAACCAAACGCCCTCTAAAATGTTTGCGTTGGAGGAGTCCTCCGTCGTAGTAAATCAGTGCATATTTAGGATAAAGAAACATAAGTAAATTTCATAAATGGTCCTTAAACCTTATAGTTTGGCTATGTTTCAGCATGCTCGTTAAATTATAAAAAGGGTTCGTTTCACCCGTAAAATATGAAAAGTGGTTCAATCCCTAAACTAATGATATTTCATAAATGCACACTGAACTATTGATTCTGTTTTAATTTTTTTTCAATTTTAAAATATTCGGGAGCAAGTTCACACAAAAGTGATGATATACTATACATCAAAACCATACAAAAACATATAGAGATAGATATATGAAAAAATAGGGGCAAATAGAAATAAAAAATAAAAAAAAATAAAAAAAAAACAGAGAGAACAATGAAAACAACGTCAACGTCATGCAAATAAAGAGAGTGAACAATGTGACATCATACCAAACAAAGTGGAAATTGGGATTGATTCTCGCCAGCAACTAATGATTCTAACAAAAGTATTGCCTCTGATCAACTCTCAGCCGATGCTGAAATTCTAAGAGAGGGTCTAGAGCATATCAGTAAATATTATTTGACGTAAAGCATTAATAAAATCAGTATTAAATCAAAAACTGGTTACAATATTAATTTTGGTTAAAATGGAAAGTCAATATGCAAAATATGATCAGAAAAAATCAGCCCACGGTTACAGCAAATGATCATATAAGGAATGTGTCCAAAATAAAAATAGGAGCATATTCAATATTACATGTGCCCTTATTATTTAAAAGTGGATATATATTATATATAAATATATATTTTTAGATTCAACGTTTCCAAAGTAAAATTTTTATGTAATTATTTTGTAGTTCAAACCAATAAACGGGCCTTAAGTTTTCTCAAATTATTTTTAAAAACTAATCCACGAACCAGAACGAAGGGCTCCCAACAAAGAAGAAAAAGTGAAACGAAGAAGAAAAAGAAAAAAAAAAGATAGTTTTAGTTTGAGTTTTATTTTTATTTTTAGTTTTAGGTATTATTTTAGGATTTTTATTTCTATTTCAACAATTGCAAAGAATGCGATTTTATTGAAGATGGGAGAAGAAGGAGAGCTTGAACATTGGATTTTCATCTACAAGTTTTTTATTTCTTACTGTCTTTAATTTTGTGCTTTAGTGTTGTATAATTTCTTAATTGGATTGTGATATTTTACTTTTAATTATGAGTTAATGTCATTTTCTCTAGAATTGTAATTTAGCCTTATTAATGGATTTTCGTTGATTTTGCCTTATGTGATTTTTTGTTGTTAAAATGATATTGTTTATCTTATTAAAAACCTAATGCTCCTAATTACTTGACCAATGATTAGGTGATGATAGGAAATTTGATGAGCTTGGAAGAGGGATTCTAATTTTTGCCTAATAATAAAGTAGCATATGTGCGTATAGAATATGAATATTGTTGGTTTTCGAAACGATTTTAAATGTGGAAACGTGTGTTTAGTGGATCGTGTATAATAAAATTTTCATAAAACTTTGAGATATTCTATATATTACATTAATTTATACACGAATAAATTAGTCAAATTAATTTATTTACCTAACGAATAATTATGACGATAACTTAAATTTTTTGACCTCAAACGTCCTTACTCCAAGTTAGTTTAGAACACCCGAATCCTCCTCGTTAATTCCTTGAATCTACAAAGACGTGTATGTGGGCACACTTGAAACAAAACAGGATTAGCAAATAAACACTCAAGGTTTCCACGAACACCTGACACATGCACGACGTGAAATTTTTAGAGAAAATTTTTTCTTCACACACTCTATAGTATCCGGCCACTATACTAGGAGAGAGCAAAATTGTGTTATTCAAATTTTTGCAATCTCCTATTTATAGAGTAATAGTCAAACTCTCAGAAGAAGTCTAATATTTATCTCTAAGATAAAGCTTGATAATTATATCTCACTTCAAATTTGATTTTGAAACAAAATCTATTCTCCATCAATTTTGACTCAAATTCAAATTCAAATTTAAGTCAAAATTAAATTAATTTGAATTTCAATTGAACAACTTATCAAATAAGTCAAATGAATAACTTAAAGAGCAAGCAACTGAATCCCAGAGGCATTCACACTGTGCTGTGCATTCACACTATGTGAACACCTTCACATTATGTGAACACCTTCATATGTGTGTTTCAAAATTCAAATTTAAATTTAAACTTAAATAATTACATTATTTAATTTATAATTAATTCTTAATTAATTATCCTTCAGAGTTTTATTAAAAGCAATTTAACATACAATTAAAAACAATTTAACATTTTAAACAGACTAGAAGTTCTTACTAGCATAAGAGGAATCAATTTAATAAGATTAAAGACTTCAGTCGAAGCCAAATAATAGTAGTTTTATATTCTTTTTTTTTATTTATAAGAATCAGTTTTTTTAATTGAAATTCTAAATCTTAATTCGACTCTTAAAGGAATATGATATACTTATCTAAATTTTCAAAGAAAAAAGCCCAAATTAGAGTTTTTTTAAATTGGAATTAGTTTTGGTACTCGGATGCCATTTTCAAAGTTCGAGAGCATCAACAGTGTGTTTGGTAGGGTGGAAAAGAGAAAAAAAAAAAAAAGTAGATGAAAGATTTTATAAAAGAAAATAAAATTTTAAATTGTTTGGAAGAAAATAAGGAATAAAAGAAAATAAAAATCTATAGGCCCACCAATTTTTAATCCTTCTAATTTAAAAAAAAATGAGGAAAAAAGTTTAAAAAAATAAGATATAAAATAATAATTTTAACATTTACCATTCATCATATTTTTATTTATATTTAACTATTATTATAAAATATCTTAAATTTAATATTTACTTTTCACTTTTCTTTTTCATCTACCAAACAATATAAAAAAAAAAATCATTTTACATTCTTTACTTAAATATTTTATTTCTCTTTCCTTCCTCTTTTCTATCCATTACCGAACATATAGTAGATACTAGAAATATCGAATTGCCCTTAATTTTCGATTTGGTTGACTGAATTCACTCTTTAATAAACGTTTTAAAAAAACTTGGCATGTAACCAAATATCCTATTTATTCACTCTTATTTTGGAACCCTAGCCGCATTCGTCTCTCTCCTAACGATTCACTCTCTCACTCTCGCTCTCTCGTCTCTCTGCATCTGATTCCCTCTCAATCAATCTTCTTTGCAGAATCATCGAAATCTCTCTCGAAGAAGGTACAATTTTTTTCTCGCATCTCTTCTCTTCGTTCCTTTTCGTCTCAAGAAACCTGAATTTCTGCTTCTTTTTTCTCTTTCTTTTCTTCGTATTTTCTCGGAAAATTCTTTTGGTCAATCCAATTTTTAGCGTCAAGATGTCGCGAAAAGGTTTGATGGAGCAGGACCTGAATAAATTGGATGTAACTAAGTTACATCCCCTCTCTCCGGAGGTCATATCTCGACAGGCAACGATCAATATTGGTAATTTTGATTTCGATGCTTCAATTTCCTTTAACTCACTTAATGTTGACAGTAATATTTAGTTTCTCATTGTAAATTTTTGTAATTCAAAATTTTGTTGTTGATTCTGACAATTTGGATCTTGATTTTTGTTCTCAGGCACAATAGGTCATGTGGCTCACGGGAAATCGACCGTCGTAAAAGCAATATCCGGTGTTCAGGTCATTTAATTTTTTTTTATTTTTTATTTTATTTTTTATGTTTATCAATACAACGCTATGTTCTTGTTTTCTGCCAAGGCTTATGAATAAATTGTTTGTTTGAGTGGTAATATTGTTAAAAATCCTTTTGAAATTTGGATAAACTGCTTGTATATATACAGACTGTTCGTTTTATATTTTAATTGGGGCTTAAGATTTCATTTATGCTCGTATTTAACTTTCTAATGAATGTAATTCGTGATACTAATTACAGAATTACGAATGTTTTTCGGGTCTAGTTTTGAACACTCGTTTATTTTTTCATATTTGCAGACTGTTCGTTTTAAGAATGAATTGGAGCGTAACATTACGATTAAGCTCGGATATGCAAATGCGAAAATATACAAATGTGAAGATGAACGGTGCCCTCGACCTATGTGCTACAAGTGGGTACAAGTTCAAGTAATGCAATTATCGTACTAGTAGTTATTAACTTTTTCCTTTAATTAAGGGTGTGTTTAGTGTAAGGGTTCAAATCAGGGTGGTTCTAGAACTTTGAACCAGAACCATGATTCATGGTTTGAACTATGAACCATGAATCATGGAACTCTTGTTTGGTTGTGCTTTTTATTTTATGGTTCAAATTAGAAATGTGATCCTAACTTGTGTTTGGTTGTCTTTTTTTCTGAGTATGATCCATGAACAAAATTATTTTTAAAAGGCATCGAAGAAGGAGAAATAAAATTATATTACGCTAAAATGATAAAAGAGAAAGTCAAAGACGTGAGGTGAGCTTCATTATTGAAGCTTCTCCATTATTGCAACAGTGCATTTGGGGTAGGTGACGTGAGGTGAGCTTCATTATTGAAGCGAAGACTGGGATTTGCAACAGTGTATTTGGGTTCTGCTGGACACGAATCAGGGGGGGTCCTGATTCCAGAATCAGGGCCTCAAAAGTCCCACCTGACCTCAACCCTGTTTCAGTGTTTTTGCCCTACCAAACGTGGATTCTTCTATGGACCCAGGGTTAGAACCACCTGAATCCACACACCAAACGCACTCTAAGAATTTCAAACTGTTTGTATAGGGCCTATGGAAGTGGAAAGGAAGATAGTCCTTTGTGCGATGTTCCGGGATTTGAGAACGCTAGGATGAAATTGCTGAGACATGTCTCTTTTGTGGATTGTCCGGTAAGATTATGAATTTCCATCCTTTTAAGGACTTGATATTTTATATTCCTCTTGTAGGATTGTAGTAGGCTGTTTAAAATCTACTTTTTGATCTCAATGTCATGAGGAAAATGTCAGTTTTACTTATCACCCTAAATCAAAGTTCTGGATAGTTTGCCTTAAGCAATTTTGTTTTCTGTTTGCGTTAGTTGTTTATCTAGTTTTGAAGTCTTATTAGAGTTTATTGGTTGCAAATATGGACATATATAGAACCATAGAAGTAATGTCTGGGTTTTTATGTATGTCAAATTAAATTTATGATTATCCGCTTTATTGTTTTACCCCCTTTTAACAGGGGCATGATATTCTCATGGCTACCATGCTTAATGGAGCGGCAATTATGGATGGAGCGTTGCTTCTCATAGCTGCTAATGAGAGCTGTCCCCAGCCACAAACTTCTGAGCACCTGGCAGCTGTTGAGATTATGCGCCTTCAGCACATTATAATTCTTCAAAATAAAGTGGATCTCATTCAAGAAAATGTTGCCATCAACCAGCATGAGTCAATCCAGAAGTTTATTCAGGTAAAGCTCCGATTTCTCCTTCCTCCTGGAATTATTTATCAGTGTTGAATATTCGTGGCTTGCTAAACAATTTTTTCTATCAGGGAACTGTTGCGGATGGTGCACCAGTAGTACCTATTTCTGCTCAACTGAAATATAACATTGATGTTGTGTGTGAGTACATTGTGAAAAAGATCCCCATTCCAGAAAGGAACTTTGTCTCTCCTCCTAATATGATTGTTATCCGATCATTTGACGTCAACAAGCCTGGGTTTGAGGTTGATGAGATAAAAGGTGGTGTTGCTGGTGGAAGTATTCTCAGGGTACGTGGGTTTTTTTTTCCCCTCCCTAATGTGTCTGCTTAAAGTGAGTAACCTTTCAAGCAGTACACATGCTTAGTGTGCATATTAGGATTATGCATAGTTTTTTGAGCTAATTAAGCTATAACCTAAGTTTTTTACTTTATACGTTGCATCATGACCAATAAGAAATCTACGTATGCACTTGTTATCTGAAAAATTTATCACCAACTTTTGACATCCTTTTTTTGTAGGGTGTTCTGAAAGTGAACCAATTTATCGAGGTTCGTCCTGGGATTGTGGTTAAAGATGAGAGTGGAAACATCAGATGCACCCCAATTTATTCCAGAATTGTTTCACTCTATGCTGAGCAAAATGAGCTGCAATTTGCAGTGCCCGGAGGCCTGATTGGTGTTGGTACAACAATGGACCCAACTTTGACACGTGCTGATAGGTTGGTGGGACAAGTTCTTGGTGAAGTTGGATCTCTTCCTGAGGTTTTTGTTGAACTTGAGGTAAGAAACGCAATTGCAAGAACAATTTATGTGATTTGTTGATCGACTTGACTTGTATAATCTTGTAGGTGGCCGTTACTGTAATTCGTTGTTCTTTGTCTCTGTCCAGTAGCAGCTAAATATTGCTCTGATTTTTCAGGTCAACTTCTTCCTTCTGAGAAGGCTTTTGGGTGTGAGGACAAAGGGCTCAGAGAGGCAAGGAAGGGTCTCAAAACTTACAAAAGGGGAGATCCTCATGTTGAACATAGGATCCATGTCTACCGGGGCTAGGGTCCTCGCTGTAAAAAATGATTTGGCCAAGCTGCAGCTCACATCCCCAGTTTGCACTAGCAGAGGAGAGAAGATTGCACTCAGTCGACGAGTCGAAAAGCACTGGCGTCTCATCGGATGGGGCCAGATTCAAGCTGGAACTACACTTGACGTCCCGCCCTCCCCCATCTGAGCTGCCTCTCTGCATACGTTTAACACAGAAAAAGTCGAGAAAACCAGTATTAAAGTTTTTAAGGTCAAGGGAGAAAGATGTGGGAAGGGCGACAATTGTTGGGAACCATTTTTGTGAGATGGAGAAGAAAACCTTATTTGGATAATATTTTAGATGTGACGCTTAGCGCCAATTGTGAATTTGAGCCTTCTTTTTGCATTCTGATCGTTGAGTTTTTGGTGGTTTGTTTAGAACCATGCGCCGAGATTCTTTAAAACTTCATTAGCAATTTGGTGTCATTTTCCTGTCTCGTTTCCTCCGTGCATCTCAGCGTTAAGTGCAAGAGCCAACTATAAGTTCTTAAATGATGGAGCGACATCACATATTTAATATTTTTCACTAATATTTATTAACAAACTAATAATTGTCCCTTTTTTTGTTTTGTTTAAGGATTAAATCTACAACTTTAATATAGGAATTATTTCTTAATAGAGAGAGAAAGTTCAGGGTTTTTATAAGGTAAAATTAATGATTTCCATCTAATATTAGAGAGACTATTTATGAGATTTTAGTGTAGGGACTATTTACAAGATGACTAGCTTCTATAAAGAAGAAAAAGTTAAGGACTATCTACGAATTTAACTTTAAATTAATTAGGATCTATTTGAAAAATGTATTTAAATCATGATTTGGATTTTACTTCAAATTCTTTATGAAAGAACTATTGGTCAGAAATTTTTTTATTTAAATTCTTTATGAAAATAAAATACTATAACATAATTATAATTTGAGTTTTGAGTATATGTACTAAACAACTTCTTAATACCTCAACTAATAGATAACAGATTTCTTTGATTCCAAGCTATAGGGGAAAAATAACGGAAGGCTACACCTGGATAGATCAGGGGTCCTAGAGAAACTATTTAATTATTTATTAAGGGAAGGCTTCGAGAGCATTCCCTATATACAGTCACACTCCTTTCAAACAGTGATGAAGTTAGAAAAAATTTCCGGGAGGGGCTTGAATAGCTTAAATTTTTAACTAAATTAACTGTGGAGTATTATTAGAAATAAAATTAAGAATGTAAATGAAAGATTATAAATATTCTACATAAAATATAAACTTAGTATATTTTAAAGGAGTACAATAATATAAATTTTATATCAAACTTTAGGGTACAAATAAAAACTTTTAAAAAGTTAGCACAAAATTTATAAAAGATTTTAAAAGGGGTTAAACAAGAAAATAGAAGGCAAAATAATGATTTTTTTAAGAATATTAAGGAAGCTAGATGGCCCCGGGGCTGCAGCCTCCTCTGGGCCAAAACTAGCTTCGTCTTGGCTTTCAAATATACAAATATACATATATTTATATATAGAGTCCTTTCTGGATTAAAGCTAGCTTTGTCGCTGCTTTCAAATATACATATAAACATATATCTATATATCTATATATAAGAAATGTGGAAAATAGTAGAAAATAGGTCAATATGAAAAGCTTAAGAAAGTATATAGGCCAATTTTTAGTTATAGAAATTAATAGGCCAAAACTTGTCAAGTTATGATTTATAACCAGATAAGTTATGGACAAACTTGTCAAGTTATGGTTCATAGCCAGACAAGTTATAGACAATTATGGACAATAACTTGTCAAGTTATGGTTCAGACAAGTTATGGACGAAAATAGTAATTTGGCCTATTTATTAACTTATGTAAACTATTGACCTATTAATTTTAATTCATCTCAAGTCTTAGCCTATTTTCTTCTTTCTCCCAAGAAATGTTAATGTGTACTTGCTACAATACATTTTTTAACTAAAACGATATAGTTGCTACAGTACAGTGCATTTTTTTATCAAACCTACGTCGTTTTGGTTAGCGTGTTCTTTTTATTTTATCTTTTTTTTTTCATTTTAATCCCTTTTATCTTTTTTTTAATTTTTATCCTGAAATTTTATTTTTCTTGTCTTAGTTCTTTTTATCATAAAACTTATTTTTTATTAATCGTCCCAAAACTTATTTATTTTTTCATTTTGATCCTTTTTGACCCTTGTTTTATTTTTACCCCGAAACTTTATATTTTTGTTTTAATTCCTTTTATTCTAAAACTTATTTATTTATTCATTTTTATTTTTTTTTTATTTTTTTTTTTATAAGCTTCTTATCCTAAAATTTTATTATTATTTTTATTTCGATATTTTAAATTCAGATATTATATATTTTAAATAATACTATGATAATTGAAACTTAAACAGACAATTACTCTCTTTGTGTTATGGACACAGTCTCGTTCACTTCGCGGATTTGAGTTTTCAATTCGAATTGAGATGTGATATTTTTTGAGAGTTTTTTACTCTAGTAGAAAAAGTTAGATGTGATATTTCTGATAGTTTTTTACTGTAAAAATATAAAACTGAAAACTCGAATCGGTGAAATGAACAATGCCTACAAATCACTGTTTCAGAACATTCAATCAGTGCATGCAAACCCTACTAGATACGGAAGGAAGAAGAGAGCTATCAGCTGAGTCGCAATCCAAGTTCAGACAAGAAATTGATTTTCTTGTTTCTCAGTGGCGAGCGGCCCAAATCATGTTGGAGATCGGGTGGCATAACGGTGGTTCTCGCCGTGAGACTGAGGAACGTCTCTGCTCTGATATCTTCTCTTGGTTCACTCAACCTCATGATCGTACGTAATTTAAAATTTTTGGTTTTTTTTTTAGTAAGAGCAGCTCATGCCCTTCATGTTTTAATTATCAATAAATTGGCTATTTTTTATTTTAAAAAAAAAAGTTAAATAGGAAGTTAGGAACTAAATTTGCCTAATTTCATTTAAAGAAATAAACAATGATAAATTTCTTCCTCTGCAGCCACTCTGTTGTCCCAGAACTGGGCCCGGATGTTAAGTTCTCTTATGCATCACGCAAGGCAGTGTAGGAATTTAAGGAGGCAAAAGCTGTAAGTCTTAAGGAGTTTTAAGATCTTGTCAATCACTCTATGCTGTCAGCTGAAAGTCGCTGCAAATTTGCAATTGTTGCACTTCATTGTTGCAGTGTTTGTGATTTGTTTTATCAATCAATTATATAAACAAGAGACGCTGCTAACTTCCTTTGTTTAAAAACTGAAGAGATAGCGAAAGTAACTTGGAATTGGTTAATACTTGCAAATTGCAAATGAAATGGCTTAATGGTGAGCGACATTTCAGATGATTTGTACTAAAGCTTAGCCATTTACTTTTATAGTTGTACTTATCGTTTTTATATACTGAAAATCACTAGTGAAATCTTTTTTTTTTAAACAAATTTCCAATAGTAATAATCACTGTGACTCATATAGATATAATTGACGTAATAACCATTACTAATCATAAGCTTGACTACATTTCATGTGTTCCTAATCGTATAGTGAATTCTGTTTTTAGAGGATCAGGAGCTTCTTTGTCTTTGTTATCTTGTGAACTCTACATTTTGCATCCGAAAACAGCTCAGAAGAAGACAACAAATGAATCAAAACCCATAGCAAATTGAGATACAGACCAAGCATGCCCCTGAATATTTAACACATCACTAAAAGAACCACTAATTCAACGGATTTTAAAATTCAAGAGGTCAATTGTCAAGAATTTTAGTTCATGGACTGAATTGTCAAACACGAAAAGTTGTAGGGGAATTCATGAAAAAAGCCTGAATTTAATTTACATTTGAATAAAAAACTAATTTTTTTTCATCCTTTGCTGTCCAACGAAAGAAAAGGATGCTACAATTGGTTTTCAACAGTTGTACACATTTCAACCAGCTAATTGATAGCGAACTCTTCCCTAAAGTATTTGAAAAGGAGAATAGAAGAGGATACCATTGATCACTTACTATATTATATAAATGGAGATATATATATATATATATATATATATATATATGACACACAGATGAGGATTTTTATACATTCTAATTGGTGTTACCAAAATAATACAAAGACTATTCTCCAACAGACTGCTTTGAATGTGTTTCACCCACTAGGTACAGCTTCTGACCATCATTGATCAAGTCTACATCAAGAATTTTTCCTGCATCTTCTGATAAAATACAAGAAACACTTGAAATTTCTAGTTGATCTGCTGCTTTCTTAATAAGATCTTCAATGGTGTTTGGGACCCACAACACAATCCCAGGTCTTCTATCTTCTTTAGGATCCCAGGGGTGGAAAGGGAACACTGTGCATTTCTTTTGGTGCGCTTTCTCTGCAAGTACGCAATGAGGTTAGGACATATTTCGTCAAGAACCAGTTGTATTATGATAGTCTAATGTTTTGTAATTTGTAATTTTTTTTTGTTCTGATCTGTACCTTTATCTCCAGCGTGGTACGGGAAATCCAACAACTGAGCAGCCTTTGCGTCTTCAAGCAACTTGATCAAATTCTTGTTTCCGCACATCCTGCCTTCATCGAGTGGGGTGTTTCCCCATCTGTGGAATGGAAAATCAATGATAAAGTAATTGCTTCCTTTCTTTCATAGCTGCATTAAACAAAATCTCGCAGTGATACCTGTCCTTAGAGAAAACGCTGGCCCCGGCTTCTAACAGCAACTTTGCCATCAAGTACAGTCCTTCTGAGGCAGCTATGTGAAGTGGGGTTCGGTGGTCATAGTCTTTGGAGTTTGGATCAATGCCATTTGCCAATATCCTTTTAAGAAAGTCTGAGTCTCCCCTAGAAACAGCAGTGCACAGAAAACTACCCGCATTGTCTATCTTCAAGGAGGCGCCTTCTTTCACAAGTAAAGATGAGACTCGGTCATGTCCATTCTTGAGGGCTTCCAGCAAGGGCGTGTTCCCAAAACTATCTGAGGAGATATACGAGCCAATTCTCAAAGGTCACAACGCGAATGAAAGAAAAAACGGGCGCTGTTCGTAATAGTTTAAGGTTGTCACAAAATTTACCTTTAGTATTGACATCCACTCCTTCCTGAATAAGGAAAAGTGTAATGTCTTCATAGCCTCTTGATGCAGCAAGATGCTGTAGAAAAGCAAAAGGCACAAAAAGCACAGGAGAAATATATGTTCAAGAATTTTCGAAAACTAGAACTAGCTAAATGACAAGTCTTTATGGGGTCTTTTCATAAACAAATGCGGACCTACTATTTAAAATTCATTCAGGTTTATATAGCGCAATCACAACCATCGTTGAAAAATTTTCAGATATATTATGTGGTAGATGACAGTTTTTTTTATTAAACGGCTCACAATTTTTTTTTTCCCCATCATCCCATGACCAAAAATGGGATGTATATACATACATATGGAAGTTATACCGATTATATACAAAGTCTTTCAAACAATTAATTAATGCGCGTTAATAAAGATAAGAACTTCAGACGTTAACAAGTAGACAGTTACCAAGGGTGATCTTCCATCATAATCTGTCTTGTTGGGGTCAGCTCCAGCTCGGATGAGACCTTTTAGCTGATACAGATCACCATGATAAGCAGCACTATTGACTTTCAAGGCAAGTTCAGCTTCTTGTTTCCCAATATGAAACGTAATGTCCGATTCCAATTGCTTAACACGGATGTTAGATTCTTTCCCCTGTAAGCATGTGGCCAAATTCATCAAGCGTTCAAGATATAGAGACAGAGAGAGTAGAATATTCTAAGACTGACAAAATTCAGGCAAATACTTATTTTACTAAACCATAGTAGTCATTAAAATAGTAATATTACCTCCAAAAGGTTGTTCAATATTTTCCTACCATCGTGAAAGTATATGTCAAGGATATTTGTAAATGATTGCTTATCGATTCGGAGAAGCCTACATAGTTCGCATACGCGAACGGTGTATGGCTGAGGAATGTTGCAAAGAATTGAAATTATTCCAAAAGAGCTCTTGGGTTGTAAAGAAGAAATAGTTTCTTCTGAGCCATCTTCTCCTATTCCAACTTCCTCCTACACAAGATAAGAGTGGTTCTTTTAATCTCATTTAAAAGAACCTCAGAGATAAAAACATATGTATCCGTTCTTGGGACTTTTCAGAAATGACACGAGATTAAGTCAAAACTACATTTGATATGGATGAAATATATGGCTGCATTGCATGTTAAAATTTGAGATTTAATGAATGATTGATATTTGACATTTGGGATATAGAATCTTACCAGCGCACCTTGACAGACAAAATAAAGTTGATCTACAACATTTCCTTGTTCCATTATCACTTCACCTGGGAGGAAAAACTCCTCATGCACCTTAATAACCTGCAAGATGAAAAGAAGAACAATTATTTTGCACTTAGATAAACATCAGATTATTCTTAATAACCTACACATTTATCGGCCCCATTGTCATTTCATGTGGTGTCACAGAGGAAGACATCAGTTAGAATGCCATCTGAACTTGACATGATACAAAGATTATTCTGGAAATGAAAAACACTTACAGTTTTTATTTGAAAAGCAAGTTACAATTACAGTTCTTCTTTTAGCACATTTGAAATCTAATAAAACTTGGAAAAAAAAAAAAAGAAAAAAGAAAACAGAAAAATACTTACAATCTGATTGATGAATTCTGCAGAGCATCCCTTAAAGAGACAAACATTTTCAATGGATGGTAAATACAGAGTCTGGGAAATCTGAAATTGAAAAATAAATTATAAATCAAACATTGCAGTGATCCAAAATTCTTGAACAAAATAAAGAACAAATCAATTAATGTACTGAATAACAAAAAACACTGTTTAGGAAAAAAGAAATGCCTTAACATAAGTAAATGGATAATATATAGGTGAGGTAACACAAAATTCTTGTCCCTATTTTTACCTTAGCGCGAATCGAAATGGGGATGTCCTGAAGAACAGCAGCGTCTGTGTAGCTACTCTCATACTGCAAACGCACGTGGCCTTTTATCTGATTCCTGATATCCCTCCCAAGTCTATTTCTGTTCATATACTTGATGAGATCTGTCATTTTGTCTCGAAATTTTTCTGTCTTTGATCCTTTCACTATTAATGCTGTCATGTTACCGATCAAATATGCACCAAGAATCATGTCAAATGACACGTATATCATTATGAATATCATTTCTCTCAAATTAACTGCATGTATATCTCCATAACCTGCCACAGAAAGACCACTATTATGCATTAGTGAAAGTAATAAACCTACATGAGAAGATAACTAGCATGGTCTTTCTTATTGTTTTAAATCGCACACTAATCTTTCCATACGTTTGTTTCATAGGTTCGAACCACTATTCATACTTTTTTGCCACAGTTTTAATATGCTGTCATGTGTTACAAATAGCATTCCTTCAACTAAAATTAGCACTGAAAAGAGAATTTCGTACCAACAGTGGCCATGGTGACAATGGCAAAATATAAGGACGTCATGTAGCGCTTCCATAAATCAATCTCTCGAAAGTGTGAATAGCTATAGTCACCCAACTTCAAACTCCCAATCCAAGTATAACCTTCTTTAGAAGCAGGCAGAGTGGTTGCCAAATAGTAGAAAATGCAAGCCGCTGTATGTGTGCAATACAGTTCAACAACAATGAGTTTTACAATCCTAGTGAAGAGGTAATTGATTCGTATGTCCTTCTCCAAGTTCTGGAAGAAAGCAGTTACTTTGCGCACTCTGCTTAGCCTGATCCATAGAAGATATCTCACGGCCTCTTTTCTCCCGCATGTCTATTCACAAAAGGATTTCTTTCTGTGATTACAAAAACTGAAGCGAACCAAAAGTCGTAATTGATAAACTTTGGTTTGGAGAATCATTGTCATTTATATAGCAAATCGGGACAAATTTCTTAAGTGACAGCATAAACTAGAAAATGGTTTCACTTAGACTAATGTACACATGAGTTCCTTCTTTAAAATACAATATTTATGGCACATCATGAGTTTCTTGTACATGGATATACTTGAAAATATGGACCAACACATAAACAGGCAAAAGTATGAATGATTATGATTATATACAATTAGAAAGAAAAGAAGTACCTTATAGATAATATCCCAAGGCAAACAACCAAGCAGATCAATAACAAAATGTGATTTCAAATACCTGAGGAAAACATTAAATAAACACTTAAACATCAGTAATTCTATACACATGCAATTGTCAAAGTTGCTGCTTATAAGAGGAAAAACTATTATTATCTAACCGTCCAAAAGAGAAAATATCATATAAATGAAACAAGTACCGGAGAGCAATAGGGTTGCGCTTACAGACCATACGGTAGGTCTGACTGTCTCGGTAGGCGACGAAGAACTGTAAGACGATGTCGACGAGAAATGCGATCTGTCCCACGATGTCGAGCACAAAGAGGTCTTCGTTCAGTCCTCTGAAGAAGCCAAACTCCAAGGGAGTGAAGAATGAAGAGTACACTGCCCATATCAATATGAACTTCTGCCATACCCTATACCACCTGCATGCAATGCATTTTGCCTCAACATTTATTTTCCTTTCCAAACAAGAAAGTGAAAGAAAATGGTATTAAAAACAAGTAATGAACTTTTCGTTAACGGAAGAAAAGAGACTGATCTTAACCTTCTTCAATAACGACATGTTATGAAAGATATTTCAAAATAAATAGTAGTTATCTAAAGCAAGATAACTAGGTTAAACCAACCACTATATCTCCTTTTTCTCCCCTTTTTTTTTTTTAATATTTGACGTCACAGTTATGTTCGTATATAGCTTGTACGTATAATAGTATAGTGTGATGACAAAAAATAATCCATGTAATAGAGAAAACATTATGATTATTAATATTAATTAAGTATCAGTATAGTTTAGTAGTGCTTCAGTAGAAGGCTTCTTTGTAGCTGTAACTACTAGTTTTTATAGTTTAGCACATTTTAGGAAAATTAATTAAAAAAATGACAAATAAACATCATTTGAAAGTGAAAGATGGTAAGACATTAGTGGATGTTTTACCACTGACCAGTAATCTTGTATCCAAATTCGTTATTCCCTGGTTTATTCGTATATTTTAAACAATAGTATTTGGTCATTAAGGACTCATTTACCATTTTTACGTAAATTTATCCCAAAAAAAAATGATGCTACCTAGACCTAGACGTAAATATTTTTTTCTTTTTGTTTGAAATTTCTAATATTATACCCATTTGGCAAACAAATTAAATAGAAAATGAGGCATCGAAAATCCAAACCACCAAATTTTGAGCTTTTTCTAGCTAATTATCACTAAAACAGAAAAGTGAGGCAAAACGGTTAAAAGTCACAACACGTTGTTTTAGAAAGTTAAACCTATATAAATAATACTCCTACCAAACTAGCTTTTTTTTTTTTTTTTTTTTTTTTCTGCTCATATATCACAATACATATATCCATGATAACTACATAAACATATATACATATATATCTACTATAATCCCTCAAGATTTACAAAATGCAAATCCAAGACAAATAAATTTAAAACAAACTTTTAAAGCGTATACATACGTATATATTTGATGTTAATCTTTTTTAGCTGGAAAACTGGAAATACTTTACAGCGTCTTAATCTATCACTGTCGGGAAGAAAAAAAATTAGGGAAAATTTCTTATCACGTCTTTTCTGTCATTATACGTTCTAATTATATATAATAGCGAGTTTTAAGTAGAACCTAATTAAAGTCAAATGAAGATATTGTTGTGCAAAAACTCGGCGTAATAATTCTAGATAGAGACGAAAAGAAGTCTTTCAACTATTTGGTAAAGATCATATCACATATGCTACGCAGCCAAACTTGGCATCCCGAGTGTAGAAGGAGAGAGAAAATAAAGAGTTGTGTTTTTTCCCATAATTATTCCTCCACTTAAAATCTGCCACGCAGCCAAACTTTTTTTTTCTTTTTTCCTTTTGTTGAATATAACAATCATTGAATTGTTTGATCCTTTTCTCTAGTCTAGATTATATGAAAAATAAAAACAAAAAAAACATAAAGTATTGCCAGTTTGACACCTTAATTATGAACCAATAGTTATCCAAATGAGGACTTTAATACTGCAACCCAACTACGTTTGACCCTGTAGAACAAATCTCTCAATCACTAAAAATCACATATAATTCCCTAAAACAATGAATAAAAATTATCTAGACTACTATTCTGTTTTTGTTATCTTTACATTTATATCATTCAAAATTTAAGTTTTTGCCAGTTAATTTCAATCTCCGTCTAATGATAACTATTCATGTATGTGTCAAAATCATGGTGGGAACTGGACAATAGATAAGCAACAATGAAATATAGGTGTGAATCGTTAACTTGGCCAACACATATTAGGAGATATTTAGTTGGAAGATTTAAACCATGATTTGAATTATAGTTCATGGTTCGTTACATATTTTCTCTCACATAAAATACACGTAAATTAAAATTGATTCTAATCACATGATTTTAATTCATGAACCAAACGTCTCCTTAATGGTTATCCATTTCTTGCTTCTTTTTTTCTTTTTTTTTTCTTTTTTTTTCTTTTTTTTTTAGACCATTTCTTCCTCGTTAGTCCACCAACATGGTTCGATAGAAGAGACCAAACAAGACAAGTATTGTTGCGTGTAAGTACATACACAGGTTAAACGGGCCCTAATAAAGTAACATTGAGTACTCATTGGCTTAGTTTGGTATTATTGTAGATTTTAAAAAAATTATTTTGCTCTGTTAAAAAAAATAACTGTTATAAAAAGTATCTGAGTGTTTAGTAAATTATAATTATAATAACTGTACTGATTTTAAAATTAATGTAATAGCGTTTCATAAATTATGAGGTTGAATTACTGTGGACAATTAAAAATTACGACTATATTATATTATAATATAATATAATATATATATAATTACGATATAATATATATTTATTATTATATTTAATATAATACAAAAAACTATTATTATATAATATATTATATAACTATAATATGGAATATAATAATATTATTAAAATAATAAACGATTATATTATATTATACTATAAAATAATATATATAATTACAATATAATGTATATTTATTATTATATTTAATATAATACAATAAAACTATTATTAAATAACATATTATATAATTATGATATAGAATATAATAATATTATTAAAATGGTTAATATAATTACAATATTGTAAAACATATTATAATATTACATAA